TAATTAGTTTGTGCAGACGATATTTTAAGTTGCGAAATTGGACACAAAAATAAACTTTCTCTGAATAAATAGTTTTTTTTTTAAATTTGTTAGTTTTGACCATATTTTTTTCTCCGTGTAAGTTTAACACAGCTATTCTTTTTTTAGTTTACTTAAACAGTTGCAACTACAATGTTTCTAGCTACAACTTAAAAAGCAGAAGTTGAAGAGCTTTTCAACTTCTGCTTTCTGCACACACAATTCGCTTGATGCTATCGGCAAACATCATCATTAATGTGGAAACAAAGATTTAAGGATTCTAAATAGAAAATACATTTGGCATGAGAAAAATTTACTAATTCAGCAAAATGTTAACAGAATTACAATTCAGAAGAAAGTGAATCTAAGAAAGAAATCTAAGTTAGGATGTTTATATTTTTTTTAAAAAAATCTAAGTTAGGAAGTTTTTATTTGTTAGATCTCAGGTAGGCTGTATAAAAGATTATGCTACAAAAAATGAAATTCGTAATCTAATTTGAACGAGTAGTTTTTGATTGAGAACAATGAGCAAAATAAAAAACGGAACCTTAATAACTTTTGACCTAAGTAATGAATTTCCCCGTGTCATCTAAATATTTTATGAAGATTACGTTGAATATAAACTAATAAATCTATGAGAACAACATTTCAATTAAGATGTAAGGCACAAAAACTTACTTTATTTGAATTAACATAAGCTATAAGCACGATAAGGGAGTAATACATTAAAAACGTAATTCGGTTAAAAAATTTATATATGCCAAAGATTGGATTGATTATTTCCACCTCAGTCACATCAGCTCATCTTGATACCTAGGAATCTTGTTTTATTTATATGAATGTTGATTCCCTTGTTAACAATATTAGTTCTTCACCACCTCTCCATAGCGTGCGGGAATGCATTTTACCCTGATTTACCCCTCTCGACCACTGTGGTTTTTCTTGCTGTTTTTTTTTTTTCCAACTTTTTTCTCTCTCGACTACTGTAATTTTCCTAGTTTTATTCTACCATTTTTCGTTGGCAATTTAATTTTAAATCGTTTTTTTTCTTCGAATTCACTTCTGGCAAGTTTTGAAAATGGGCGCCTATTTTTGAAGAGCTTGAAACATGTTGGCTGCCTTATGCTGTTTATATATTTTTGGGGTAGAATGAAATTTTTAGTCAAGTAATATTTTACCGCTTCATTTTTTTGGGATTATTATACTATAAGGGAGTATCTGATGAAATCTTTTCAAATTCAAAATAAATTAAATTGAGCATTGTATCGTGTATAACGGAAATAATACCCCGACTTATTCCACTTTTGTAATTTATAAAAAAAATTTTCACTTTTATGTATTCAATTGATTTTGTGATCCTTAACAGTGTTTTGGCTCTCGGAAGATTTGTTCCTAGCTAACGTTATAAGTCTAAGTTAACACCAAGGTTGTATTATAATGCATACATATATATACATATATATATATTAAACAAAGTTAACAGAATGTTTTGACAAATCCTGACAGATTTCCCTTAGAGTAGGCTACGCAAAAGAAGACCAGCTCTCATAGTCCCCCATGTAAACTTGTTCCAGAGGCAACGGTTACCTCCATCGAGGTGTGAAAGTATTACTAGGAAAGCAACCTGCCTCCTTACAGAGGGTCCCTCCGTCCTTACCCCTTAAGCAACCCCATTCCTCTCCGCTCCCAACAAACACCTTTCTCCTTGTCTCCCCCCACTCATGTAAACAGCTAATGAAGAATGACTCAAAACCCGTCTGCTTTTGTTCTTTACAGACTTATATGGTTTTGAAAAATCTTTACCTATTAAACAAGGAAAATATTTACTTCTGACGAATTCATTAAAAAATAAATATAATTTACTATTTTAACATAGGTGCATAATTTCAATCGATATCGGTCACTTAAAGATGTCACTTTAAAGATGAAGAGAAATTTGTTGCTAAACATGTTTAGAGATGTTATGATGGATGAAAGATGTGCGCATGCGTCGGCCCAAAAACCTCAGGCACTTTTCTTGTCATACAGAGGGACCTTGCTGGCCCCAGCTGCGTATCGGAGAATTGGAAACAGAGGGAAGTAATTTAGTGTCCAATTATATCAAATTGTATAAGAAAAGTCAACAGAAATTGATTTTGTACGAATCATTGAGGATTGGAAAATGGAGCAGAGTGATGTTTTCATACAATCTATCTTTTTCAACTTATGATTAAATACAGATGGCTGGCACAATCTCACAAGTCAGGTTTCAAAGCGGTTCAAAAGATACATACATGCAGGATGTTTCTTATATACCGTCCTTAATTTGTATTGTTAAAAGGAATCCTTATAAAAAAAATTAAAACACTAAACTATGCACATTGGGGGTCGTAAATCAAGATTTAAATGCAGAAAAGAGGCTTTTGAAATCTGTCGTCAGATTTAATAAATAATAAAACGGGATCAAATGGAGATTGACATTTATAATTTGTTCTTAAAATTCTCTGCCATCTTCTCTCTATTTTCCTTTGCAATTAAATCTGACTTGCTATTTATTATTTTTGCCTTTATGCACCTTGATTAGTCGGATTTTGAGAGCATGTTTATTTTTTCCCAAGTTAAATATTAACTTGTGATCCCCAATATTTACTTTAAATTTGCATTTTATTGTACCTCTTTTATTTCATTCTTGACGATAGGGATTCAGAAATTTCATATCAAGGATGATTTTTAAGGAATATCTTGTGCATAGAATCATGCATATGAAAAATTAAAATAGCTACATTAAATAACGATTAATAGGATTAAGTAATAAAATTATATTTGTCGATTTTAAACTAAATACTTTCAATAAAAACTTTCTCTTCACGCATTTGTATCATCTATTTGTAATTTTCCTATTTTAGCTTTGATAAATTTTTCTTTATTTTTGTGATTTAAAATACAATTTCAAATCGAATTATTAAATTTAAAAATCTATTGAAATTGGAATCAATATATTTTACTTAAAATAAATTGTTTATCTATCTATTAAATTTAGATAAATTAAAAATTTAGACTTTAAATTATTGCTTATTATTATTTAAATTTCATTAAAACAAAAGATTACTAAAAGACATATTTCATTTTTATTGTATTAAAAAAGCAAAAAGCAGAACATTTAAAAAAATATAATTGCTGAACTTAAAATGAAACAGTAAAAAATGCGACTGTAATAAAAATGCCAAAAACGATTTAGCTTTTTAATCTCTAAAGTTTAATTAGTTATCGCACGAAATATAATATTGATTCCTGCTACACCAACGATTTACAAATAGCTTTGATTGGATAAAATGCCATTAAGAGGGAAAAAGTCAAATATAGGTATTTATATTTTTAAAACATTAATCTTATTTGCGAAGTAACTTAGTTATGCTATTGTTTCCAATAAATGGAAAATAAACTTAAAACTGACTTATCTCACTAAACAATCACTATTTTAAATTCGACAATATATGCGTTCCGGTTGTTTTTCGCCTTTATTCTTATTTGATAAATTTGTTTCTTTACAGAAAGAAAATGCATGCATATATTCGGAAGAAATCTCTCATTTCAATAATTTAATTATTATTTTAAGAAAAACTTATTTCCATAGAATTCCTTTGGAAATATAATATAATTAGAAAATACACATTATTCGAATGATTTAAGGAATTTATGCTTGGGCGAAATTCTTTTAATATGCAAAACTCGCATTAAAAAGAATGAAATCTTAAACAAAGTGCAGAAATTCATGATTCAAATTTGAAATTTCTTTATAAACTATTATATTTTTATCTGGCTATTTCAATTAAAATTGTTATCCTTAGTTTGATCTAGAAAATAAAACTTATGCAAATGATGAAGTTATATGAAAAAAGTTTTTCATAATCCAATTAAGTAATGATACTCCAGAGGGTGTGCTAAATTAATAATAATTAATCAGGATACTTTACATTATAATATAAATTTTATCTTTCGAAAATAATGTCTTATAATTTCTTCATTATTCAATTAAATTTTCACCTAAGTAAAGATTATTTAAGGGAATTTTCAAAATCGACTACTAAGCACCTTCCTTTCAAGAGTCCATACACTTAAATCGTCGTGGTCTTTTTAGGTTTAAAACAATATGCCGATTTAACTTTTGGAATCTTTAGCAATAACAACAGTTACAAAGTTCAGCAATTAACGGTGCTAAAAAAAAACTATTAAACAATGTTAAAAAAAACAAAAAAACACCATTTGCAACAAAGGTGGGCAGCCTATGAAAAAATAAATTATAGATCCATCTAATTATTGAATATAGAAAAGTCTGATGAATAACATAAAAAATTAGAGTCTTTTTTTCATTTAGTAGCGCCATCTGTATACTAGCTTTGTAACTATTATTACAACCTTTTAAGAAATGAATTTATGTTTTGCAAAGCAGAATGCAGTTAACCTTACGCTTTTTTTTCTGTTCCTTTCCATGAATCAATTCGTCATTTATTTCTGGGTTATCGAGTAAGCACAATCATCCGAATTCAGAACACTATGGATTTCTCATACGTGTATTTAGCTTAAAAAATAAAATATTATTGTCAGCGTATACTATGGAAACTATAGTTTGATAGTTTGAAAACTAGAGATTGACACACGGGGATGTGTAAAAAAAAATACTAGGGATTTGCTTGATAAAAATCCAAAGACTATTACTTTAAAAGAAACACTAAATAACGTGTAGAAAAGAAATACTAAACTCTGAACGAAAAAGCTACTTTAAACGAAGAATTTTGAGCCGCTTTTTGTAACCATCCAGAAGAGAAAAAAAATACGAAAAACACGCATTGTTGGCTATGAAATTCTCGTTTGTTCCAGTCGTGCTCGCGCTAAACCCTGTATCGGTGTATAAAGAAATTTATAAGGATGCATTTTTCTTTCGTAACAATGGCATCCTGCGTTTCATAACAACTCGGAATTCCGTTAAGTATAAAATATCTTACCATTTTCTGAGTTTCCACAGCAAGCCGCGAATAAAGTATAGCTCAACAAAAGTAAAAACCATTTCCGTTTCTTCATAGTCATTTTCTATGCTTGACTGTTCAATTTCTATTACATGGCTGGGATTGAGATGTTTGTACCTGTAAAAAAAACATGATTTGAAAAATCAATGAAGGGAACGAATTTGTGATCGTTTTGAAGTATTCCCGAATAATTGGTTTTTCTAAACTTCCTTAAATAAAACTCCTAATTTAACGATTCCGCAATCCTTGAGCTGTATTTCTACAACTTCGACAATCATTTCGACACGAAATTACGAAATTTAAGACAAAACGCGAATTCTCAAAAGTAATTGTGAGCCCAAGTCAAACGTCCGAAAAATTTCTTGAGTTAAAAAAAAAAACAGTTTAAATTGAAAAATTAGAAAAAAATTTAAACAAGTTTTTTTTCTTTTTCTCAATATTTCTTAGTTTACTTAAAATATATTTAAAATTTTACACATACCTATGATGACCTGGAGAAGTAATTAAAATTTACAAATATGTATTTCTTTCTTGAGTTTATGATCAACTATTTACTGATAAAAAATTTCTATTAATCCTGAATATAAGCTTATAAAGTATCTGGCTCTCCCTTACAAACAAATAAAATAAACTGTGTTTTTTAGTTCCACCTTTGAAAATTTACTTCTGTGATCAAAGATTTTTTTTAAAAATCTGAACCTTCGATCTCCGGAAACTTCTGGATCACGATTAGCGAAAACTCCGGAAATCCAGATTTTTCTGGAGCACAATCAGCCCTGAAGGTATGACGAAAATATTTCCTTTACTCGAAACCTCATCATAGTGCATTGTCGAAGATTATTAACTATAAAGACAAAACTAGAATGTGACTATAATGAAGACTAGATGATCGAAAATAAAGTGACCAATCAAGTCGACTGGTGGTTAAGGATTCGGCCTCAGAACTGAGTGTTGCCACGACTGAGAAGTTGCCACGTTCGAATCCCGCTTCGAGCATGGGTGCATCTCTCTGTTCTGTCTATCCTTCTTGTGTTAGGACAACACTGATCTACCAACATGGTGCTAACGATAAAGTCATTATTTGAAAGGTTATATACTTTCGACGTGACGAGCTTTGTTTTAATTTGTACGAAATTTTCTTTCTTGAAGTGACGATAGCTATTTCATCACTTTGACGAAAGTTTTACTGTGAGCATATACCAGGAAACAGTTTCAACAGAAACGAAGAAAGTTTCGTGATATTTTACTATCTATTTTGTTCAGTGAATGCGCATCAATTTACTACAACGTGAAATGCGAGATAAAAAAAGTGGACGACATAACTCAAAATGTGTCTTTTCAATGTTCAACCCAAAATTAATTGAGGAATTACGTACTCTCTTTTCCTTATTTTTTAACACTAAGCATAATCATCACGAGGCTAAGTCCCAGACTTCGGGATCAAGTTGGCTGGGTATATGACTAATTTCGGCTGGGTATATGAATAATTTAAGTTTTTCGATTAGTAATGTGGTTCGTCGAGGTTTTGACTGAACACAACTTTAATGAGATTTTCGTTAAAAAAAATAAATAAACTAGTAATTTCTGTTCTTAACTTGAAGAACTTTTCTAAAAATATTTCTTTTTTCCAATCAATATGATACTACAGATAGTTTTTGCATATTTATGTGCAATACATGTTATATAGACTAGATAAAATCTATTGGATAATAATTTAAAAAAATTATAATAATTATAAATATCAACCCTTTCTGGAAACAAAAGTTTTTGTTGGAATTCTTCTCCTTCAGTAAAACCAAATATTGTTCTAAATTTATATTTGGAAGTATTTTCTTTTTTGATCTGATGTTCTTGTGTTTACACCGTTTATCTATATTTTATGTCAATGCATTCTTGCATAATCACCTATTTAAGATTAATGATTAGATTAATGCAAAGATAAGATTAATGCATGAGTTGCAAAGATAAGATTAATGCATTAATCTTATTTGATAAATTTTAGGAAAAAAAAACTGTAATAGACACTTATATGACTTTCTTTAAAAACATTTTCATCTGCAAGGAGAAAAACAATTCTGGTAAAATTATTGTTCCGTATGGCATTGACATTTAAGGTAAAATAGCATAATTCTAGTTAATAAAACCTAACTTCAAGGATTTTAAACAATTCGTTTGGCTATTTTTTCTTCCATATGGTAACGGCTTACAGCAAGTTCTGATTTTTAAAATTATAATGCTCATTACCATTAAAAGCAAATACAGAACTGAATGATTAATTTCATCGAAAAAATGCTTTCTATGCCATGTTTTAAAATATTGTGATAAAATTGCCAAGTTTTACCAAATTTTATCACTTTTTATAAAATAACATTTTATGGTTAGTTTTACCGAAATCATTACCAAAGCGTGTTCCTTTAGAGTCAGAAACACGTCAAATTTTCCCTTCCACTTTTTTTAGTGTGTTGCATTTTTTACGAAAAACCGGATGTAATTTTAATAATACTATTCTTCTTGCTTTTTGAAAATTCAGTAGAATTGCGTTTCACTAATAGAAACTATTGCATTCAGTTCACCTTATTTGTAGTAAAATGCTTCCACATTTTCTAATGCAATATTAGTATTAATTGACAGGCGAGTAAAGTAGACTATACTCTACTAGAAAAAAAGTAAATACCTTATTTTAAATGTTATTATATTAGTTATTAACAATTTTTGACAGTCGTGCACTTGTTACAATTGTCCCCACTTACGGGATCAATTGCAACAGTTCATAAATTCAACTATAACATAGTTAATTATGCATATTATCATAGTTGTGATATATTTTTTTATTGATCAAAATAGTAGTGATATTTTAGGAGTAAAAATAATAATGAGAAGAGACCTAAAGGGTTAAACTTTTAACTTTAAGGGGTTAAAAATTTTAATTTATGCTGTGAAAGGTGACAAACAAAATAATGCACATGCAGCATAATATAAATGATATAGGAAACTATTGGTAGTTCTTAAAGAATTAAGTAATGATTTATAAACATAAGATTATTTATTTTCAGCTGTTGCATTCGTCCCTTTACTTATTGTTACAATCGTCCCCAAGACGCCATTTCAGCTTCATTTGTTAAAAACAATGCTAGTTAATTAACAAAGCTAATATTTTCTTTTGAAATGTTAATTAAGGTGTCCACTTACACATTCGGTTAATAATTTTTATTAGTTTAAACAAAATTACTTTGTTACAATTGTAACAATATTCTAATACCAAAAAAAGTACTTACGTAGCGTGAAAATATCTTTTGTGATGTAACTCTTTCAAAAGTACATAAAAATGGTTGACAGCAGGGGTGTACATGTAGATTTATCAAATACACCTTATGCGCCATCTAGGAACCAAATCTAGAATCCCACACTCGAAATTTTTGCTCTGTTACAATCATACCCTGTTACAATTGACCCCACTCTCCCTTACTTATAGATTTCACTTTCTCATAATTAGATAAAAATATGTGGAAAAATTACGCTGACATGGTGTAAAAAGTAAAATCATTTAAGCATAAAGATAATTAATTTTTACGAGATGTTTTTGGAAAGTAACGATATTTTTTCGATAACAACAAATTAAAAGTTTCTGTGAGTCCATTGGCAATACGGGCTGTGATCTTAGACGTATCACTTTTTTCCCTCTAGGTCATTCCTTATTTTTGTGGTCAGGCTTCTTTGAGGTCTTGTCATGCGTTTTCTTCATGCAAAAGATTACTTATGCAAAAGGTCATGCAAAAAGTTGCACACTAAGCATACAAGTCAACACAAATGCAAAGACTTGCTGACAATCATAGTTTGATTTTTGCATGATAATGCTCGTCCTCACAGATCGCTTCAAACCAAAGCGCTACTCAAATGTTTCGAATGGAAAATTTTAGATCATCCACCCTATAGACCTGACCTTACACTCAGCGATTTTAACTTAATTCTTTACCTGAAAAAAAATATCTATCAGGGTGAAAACTTTCACGACGATGAGGAGGTCAAAACTAAAGTTTCAATGTGTTTCCGACAAGAGGTGTCAAAACTCTATGACTGTGCAATACAAAATCTTGCTCCCAGACATAACAAACGCTTTGATAACTATGTCAAAAAATAAGGCACATACCAGGAAATAATTTGTAATGTACATTTAATCTTTTTTGAGTGAGTATGCAGCATTGAATCTGTACTTCTCGAAAACGCCTCGCAAATAAGAAAACTGCGGAGTTAAATTGAGAATATGGCAAACATAAAGCACAATGTAAAGTTTTTTATTTCTAAATTTTCTCATATAAGTTTAATTTTCAAACGTTTCAAACATTTTGTCACCTGATCACACTAACTATTTTAATACACAATTAATTTAACAATTTTTACGTAATGTACGAAGAAAAAACTATCACAAAACGTTATGCAAGTTCAGGAATGTTACTGAAAATATCAGAAATTATAGATTAAGCTCTGTACAGTTAGTAATTTGGTAGTTATGATAGTTAGTAGTAGTTCAGAAGTTAGTTAGTCAGTTATGATTGAGAAAAAGTAGCAATTTATAGCAACTGCAAATATTTTTTCTCTTTCTAGAAAAAAATATATGACATTTACCACAGCAAAAGTTTATATCACCTGTCATCCGCATTCAAATGAATACTGTAAGCTTGACTTCTCAAACGCTGGCATTTTTGTCAAAAAGACAAAAATACTATTCCCAAATGGCACTATGTCAAAACAGGTTTATCGATAAAAAATTGAAAATATAGTAAGCAACTTTAAGTCGCTTTCTTATATTGAATATTTATAGAGATCTTGTTGTCAAATACGTTAGGATTATTAAATCATGTCTAGTCAAATATTTTTATAAATAACAGTATAGCTCTCACACGTTTCAAAGCTGAATTTTGAAGAATTGAACTTATTTTAAAATTTGTTACTTTAAAACAAAATTTGATTTTAAATTATATAATATAAAGTTTCCAAGGTATCTTTTAAGCTGATTTGAACAGCTGATAGATTAATGTTAAAAAAAACTTTTGGTTAGTTTTTGGTTGTTAGGGCAAAATCCATAATGAAAAACAAGGGTTTTTAATTCTGTCTAAATT